GGGCATGTTACACCTACTGAAGGTTTTTTCCTCCATTCAGTCTGCACCAAAGTCAGGCTGGTTAAACCCTCTACATCCTGTAGTTTCGAGAAGCAGGCTGTCCTCCCTGTGGAGAGGCAAGAACCTTTTGTTGTAATGGTACAGTCTCAGGAAGAATTTTCCCTGGTGGCTGTTGGGTATAGGCTTCTCCTGTGTCCTTGACATAGCACTGGATCACCTTACAGATAGATGTGTGCGTTAGTCTCTGGACTTGGTGGGCGTTTTAAAAAAATCATCAGCATTGTATTTATTTCACATAGTGGGTTACCACTGGCTTTGGAAACAGGAAAGAATCCAGCCAGGAAAATGAACCTTCACAAAATACATACATTTATTGTAAGTTTATTAAAATATAATTGAAAGTTTCATATTTGCATGGGCCTTTGGAGCACATTGGTTAGCAGGTGCTTCTAGTTAAGTTGGTTATAATAAACACAGTGCATCAGAGAGGGAATTTGGCATTTTCCCTATAGTGGTGTGTGAAACCTTCAAGGTATGTAGTGATGAATTTAAACTAGAAAGCAAAGATGTTTGTATGAAGATTGGAGAGTCAGAATGATTGGGAAGGAATTTGATTTAGTAGTCATTTTGAGAGAACCTTGGGGTGCATTGATTCAAGTCAGTACTTGATGGTTGACTATGTATGGCAGAGTTTTATGGGGATGAAAGAGAGAGATGGAGGGGTTTCTAAGATAACGGTTAGAGAAGAGAGGGAGACCCCCGCTAGGTGGTAGGGTGGTGTCCAGAGACTAGAGAAGGTTATGTGTTAGATGTGACATTTGAATTGGGCCCAGGAAAATTCTCATGCATGAACACAGGTAAGTAGAAAAGGATTGTTGGTAGAGATTGCATCAGAGGCATGAGAGTCAGAGCAGTTTGGGCTGGTGGAGTACGAAATGCTAGGTGGTGGGTAGTGTTTGAAGTGATTCCAATTCCTAGCTAAGGAGTTTAGCCTTCATTCATGATGGGTTGCTGATCGGCGAAGGGTTTGGAACCAGGGAGCTGACGTTGATTCTGTAAGTCTGCCTGTGGAGCAGGTGTTAGGCATTGGTAGCTCTGTGAGGCCGAGGCAGGGACTGACATTGGCAGCAGGTGTGTCCTGATAGTGACCGCTTGGCCGTTAGTTTTTTTTTTTCTAAAAACTTTTCATCCTGATGGTGATGATCAAAGCTACCAATTACTGATCATTTTCTGCATCCTGTGCATGGGGCTGAGTAACTCACCCTTACAGTCACTCTGATGTACATATATTATTGATCCTGTTGTAGGATGAAGAAGGTGAGACTCAGCAGAGGTTCGACCTGCTGCTCCAGGTCGCATGGCTGAATGGCAGAGCTGGGATTGGGATTCAGGGCCATCTGTTCCCAAGTTCACTCTGCCCCTACGGCTGCGTGTGGGCTCTGTTGCTGTGCTGCAGGACACCTTCGCCAGGAGCCTGGCTGCACTGCGCTCCGCCCTGCCACACCTCTGTTCTCCCCATATGTGTTCATCGTTTTATGTGATTTCATGTACCAGAGTGGGCATCTCATGCCTGTTTGTGTCCTGGGCTAGCTGTGTGACCCTGGGGATGCCTGCAGTGCCTGGGTCTGTAAGGTGGTATTGAACTGTGTGGCCTCTAGAAGCCCTCTGTTGGGGGTTAGGCATGGACAGAGAGGTGCAGTGGCTGTAGGATTCTTGGATGCTAGGGAGAGCACTGTCGAAAGGACTGGGCACTGTATTCAGTCCTGAGCCCTCTCAGTAACGCTCATGCTCATAAACTTTCTAACAATCTGGCTCACGGACCTTAGGTTCTACTGCACCTCCAGGAGCTACAAGTGTGGCCACACCCCCCAAGTTGCTAGAATGTAGGACTGCTCCATTTTCAGAGTAGCCCTTTTGGTCACGTTCTGTAGCTTTTTACCTTCGAATCCCACCCTGCCGCCATCTTCCCTGTGATCTTTATCCATTCCTATTTTCTTTTACTACCTGGAACTGGGCCAGTCAGAATCTGGCAGTGGGGCTGAAGGCACTGGCATTGGGTCAAAGCCCTCTTGTGGTGGTTTTCCACTCAAGGCTGCTGTTTTCTGTTTTCAATTTCTAATGAAAATTTTGTGGGCAGTCCAATATTTTATACCAGCCCACTCTAGACTATCTTATGTCCAGACCCCTGAATCTGTCTGCTTGCCATGATCACTTACTGTTAGTGGACTACAGTTATAATTAAAGCGCACTATTAAGAGGGCTGCATTTAAAGTCCATGTGAATCCCAATAGGAGGAGAGTGTGGAGCGGTATATTAAGCAAGCCTTTATTAGCCACACATGTGTTTATATAAATGTTCAAGCACACGTAAAGACCGAAGGTTGCATGTTAGAATATTTAATGATTATGCGTGATGGTGAGGAGACAGAGGGAAGCTATGTAGACAGGGACGGGGACCATGGGGGGGGGGGGAATAGAAATGGGATACCCAACTAGGCAGAGTTACTAAGCAACCCAATTGGGCAGGTAAAGAAAGGCACACATGAGAAAAGCGAGGTTTAAAATATATGAATATTGCTAAGACAGGTAGCTTGAAAATAACTAATCACAAGGCTGTGAGGCATACAAACCAATCCCAAGGATGTTACTAAGGCAGAATTCTTTGAAAATACCAATCAAGAACTAGCAAGGCTGTACCCACCCCGTAGATCAGTGATGGCGAACCTATGACACGCGTGTCAGAGGTGACACGCGAACTCATTTTTTTGGTTGATTTTTCTTTGTTAAATGGCATTTAAATATATAAAATAAATATCAAAAATATAAATCTTTGTTTTACTATGGTTGCAAATATCAAAAAATTTCTATATGTGACACGGCACCAGAGTTAAGTTAGGGTTTTTCAAAATGCTGACACGCCGAGCTCAAAAGGTTCGCCATCACTGCCCTAGATTAAAAATCGTGCTTCCTCTCGTCCTCTCTCCTCTGTCTGGCACACAATGGGTTCCTGAGTTCCTGTGGCAGGGGAGCACATCCTAAGCCCACGCTGCTTATGGCCATGTGGCACTCTGCACATGGATTAATAGACTTTAATTATCTTGGGTGCTCTCAATAAACTTTGGTTCCATTATTCATTTTTGTCTGCTACATCATTCTTCGATTTCGTGAGACAACAAACTCAGACCCCACATTTTGGTTTCAGTGGGATTACAGATCCTTTTTGTTTTCATACATTTTCTGTAGTGACCATGTATTTCTTCTATTTAAAAAAAAACTTTTTAAAGTTGGGGTGTGTGAATGTGTGTGTTATTTTTAGCTCTTGAGGCTAAAATATTCTGTGGGGATATTGAGAATAGTAGATACTGAGAATGAGCTAATAGTAAGGTGTGGCACACAAAAGCTGGGATTTTGGTCCTTGTAATTTTTGTTTTTGTTTATTGTAGCTAAGCTCCACCCATCCATTGGATGGTTGGCATTTTACTTTGTTGAACAAATGAGTGGCATGAGACTGTTAATCCATATCAGGGGCACCAGAAGATGACAGCATTGGTAATTCAGTCTTTGTTTTTAATTCCAGTGGATTCATTTTAAAAATATATATATATTTTTATTGATTTCAGAGAGGAAGGGAGAGGGGAGAGAGAGATAGAAACATCAATGATGAGAGAGAATCATTGATCGGCTTCCTCCTGCATGCCCCCACTGGGGATCAAGCCTGCAACCCGGGCATGTGCCCTTGATCAGAATTGAACCTGGGACCCTTCAGTCCGCAGGCTGATGCTCTATCTACTGAGCCAAACCAGCTAGGGCTCCAGTGGATTCATTTTAATGATAGTATCTGTTATCAGTGGCAAGTGTTGACCTAGTATCTCTTCATCCTTTTGCATTGGCTTATTATTGGAGTTTAGCATCTGCATTTGAATTTCAATTTTAAATTAGACACAATTAGAATAAGTGGTTTAGACCACAACTTAATAGTAGTTATCTCTGGGTACTATTATCAAGTAAGTTTAATAGTATTCAAAAAGGAAAAACAAAACTCTCAATGACTAACAAGATGTTTAGTATCTACTCTTGTCAAAATAGCTTCCTTTAAAAGAAGGTGGGAGAACCTATTGCCAAAGTAATGGGAAAACAGCGTTGAGTGAAAATGTTTCAGTAGGATGGTTTCTTCTGAGATGGTACTTGGCTAATCCTTGGGGAAATTTGGCTGTGAGCATGCAATCATTACATTTTTACACACAGAATGGGCTCAGGTTGGCATCTCATCCCCTGTGATTGCCAGAGGCAACACACTGATTTAATTTGTGCCCCCGTGGCAGACCTTTTTGAATAATTTCAGTGATTTTTTTACGATATGTTTTCTATTTCCTTTGCCGTTTCCTACCTTTGTTGCTCACCACTCTTGCTGATTGCATTCTGAGGAGAGTGCAGTCATTGCAGGTCCACACGGTTGTCTGAGAGGCTGCTGCTCTTGTGTCCCTGGCAGTCCGGGGCAGTGCCGCTCGGAATGCTGTCATGGCCAGCCCATGTGAATGCTGCCTCTCACAGATTGACAAAAACAGAGCAGATCTTAACTAGGCATGTTTGACACTTGACTTGGACCCTGAAAAACATACACTTGGGGATTTTGAATTCTTTTGGTGGAGACTTGAAATTTCTCAAGGGCTTGCCTCTGAAGTTCTGTTTTCTGCTTGTGCCTTTCATGTTATTTTGTGCTAACTGTTGTTTAACATGGAAGAGCCCCTGATGCATCTAATTTGAGTGCAGATATCTTCTCCTGGATAAGGGGTCGCAGAGGCACAGGAGAGAGCTGGCTGGATTCCTGCTGCTGTGGAGGGTGCCATGGCACTAATGGCTTTGGGGTGGGCATGCCTTCCTGAAGCGCTTGAATGTGCAAAAGCCACTTTTATGTCATAGTTGTTTGTTTTATAAGTACATCCTTAAGATGATCAGAAAGGGGTGAAAAAGTCATTTCTTATACCATTTCTTAAAATGCAGAGTGGACACAAATATCTACCAGGTATCTTCGAGAGCAGCTGGCCAAGATTTCCGACTTCTACCACATGGCTTCCAGCATGGGTGATGGCCCTGTCCCTGTGCCCCCAGATGTGGAGCAAGCCCTGAAGCAGTGGGAGTACAACGCAAAGCTGGCATTCCACATGTTCCAGGTAACTTGCCAGGGCAGCCAAGACTGCGCAGCATTCTTTTAAAAAGAGAGCAAGTTCCTTATCGTTTAGTTTTCTGGGGGTTAAATTGAATCTTTCTATGAACAGTACATTCAGAGAAAGACATCTGACATTTCTCACGTTGAATTGGAGTAAAGGTTGCACCTTGGCCCTGAGATGACAGCTGCTTCTTATACATGTTGACCTCCAGCTTTAATGATGTCAGCTCTGTTAGTGCTGTTACTATGTAATTGCACTATTAAGTATGATCCTTTTAAACCTTTTCTTTTGCAAAAATTCGATGTGTTCATTCAAAAAAATCTTTGTGCTGATGTCTCCTAGTAGATCATTAGAGTTTCATTATTCCAGAGATAGGTCACCTTAATTGGGCTCCGCTGCAGTTCAAAATGCAATTGATGGGGCCTATAAGGGCACTGTGGCATCCAGACAAGCTGATGTAAATCACATGGACCAGAAGAGGGCGTGTGTGCCTCAGTTTTTACTCCTGGCAAGGAGGAGTAAGTGTGCATATTCAGCTGAAATTGTATCGCTGGCATAGACTTTCACTACCTGCTCTCTTGACCAAAGAGAAAGGGGATTAGAAAGGATGTGTGGCTTCTAAATTTCCTTTTTAGAACTTAAATTATAATTTCCAACTTGCAAGTGATTTTTTCCTAAGAGCACAAAGTAGGAAAAAACGTGGTCCTCTTGAGAAATGGCATGGTTGCAGTCAATAAAAACAACTCTTTACAAATCCTAGCTCCACTTATTACAGGATTACTTCAGTGCGTGCTCAATTACTTTTATTGAGCTGAGGATTTAATCTGCATCTTTTAAAACATGTCTCTCAACAAGCTTATTGTCTTTGGGAGGTTATCTTTATGTATTAGGAACATTGGAATCAGTATGTCTTTTTAAAAAATTATTATTTTACTATTTTTTAAATTTAATTTTTTCCATCACCATTTATTCCCTCTATGCCTTCTCCCACCTCCACCCATCCCCCTCAGCCCCCACAATCACTACACTGTTGTCCAGATTCATGGTTTTTTTTCTCACTTTTTTTTTTTTCTCAATCCCTCTACCTCCCCAACAACACCCCTCCCCCTAGGGTTGTAAACTGATTGGAATCTAATTGTAACATTAATGCTACAATTTGAAAGTTCATGATATTTTTAATTTGTCACATTCTGAAATGTGAAACTGATCCTAGTATATACATATGCAGAAATAAAGGCATGGGTACATAGACAAAAGCACATTGAGGAGGCACTATTATGTAATCATTGACAATCATATTTATTTAAAATTTTTAAAAATCTTAAATTCATCATCTCTTATACCTTAATGCAAAATTCCATTTTATTTATTTCTTTATGGAGTGAAAATTCACTTTTCTGGTTTTAAAGTTTTTTTTTTTTAAATTAAATCTTTATTGTTCAGATTATTACATTGGTTCCTCTTTTTTCCCACCATAACTCCCCTCCACCCAGTTCCCACCCCACCCTCCGCCCTCACTCCCCACCCACTGTCCTCAACCATAGGTGCACGATTATTGTCCAATCTCTTCCCACACCCCCCACACCCCTTTCCCCCTCCAAGAATAGTCAGTCCACTCCCTTTCTATGTCCCTGATTCTATTATAATCACCAGTTCATACTGTTCATCAGATTATTTATTCACTTGATTTTTAGATTCACTTGTTGATAGATGTGTATTTGTTGTTCATAATTTGTATCTTTACCTTTTTCTTCTTCTTCCTCTTCTTAAAGGATACCTTTCAGCATTTCATATAATACTGGTTTGGTGGTGATGAACTCCTTTAGCTTTTTCTTATCTGTGAAGCTCTTTATCTGACCTTCACTTCTGAATGATAGCTTTGCTGGATAAAGTAATCTTGGTTGTAGGTTCTTGCTATTCATCACTTTGAATATTTCTTGCCACTCCCTTCTGGCCTGCAAAGTTTCTGTTGAGAAATCAGCTGACAGTCGTATGGGTACTCCCTTGCAGGTAACTGTCTTCCTCTTGCTGCTTTTAGGAAACTCTCTTTGTCTTTTGCTCTTGGCATTTTAATTATGATGTGTCTTGGTGTGGTCCTCTTTGGATTCCTTTTGTTTGGGGTTCTCTGCGCTTCCTGGAGTTGGAAGTCTATTTCTTTCACCAGGTAGGGGAAGTTTTCTGTCATGATTTCTTCTAATAGGTTTTCAATATCTTGCTCTCTCTCTTCTTCTGGCACCCCTATAATTAGGATGTTGGTACGCTTGAAGCTGTCCCAGAAGCTCCTTACACTATCTTCGTATTTTTGGATACTTTTTTCATTTTGCTTTTCCGGTTGGGTGTTTTTTGCTTCTTCGTATTTCAAATCTTTGACTTGATTCTTGCGATCCTCTGGTCTGCTGTTGGGAGTCTGTATAATATTCTTTATTTCAGTCAGTGTATGCTTACTTTCTAGATGGTCCTTTATCACAACATCGAGGGTCTCACTGGATAACTTGAGGATCTCACTACATTTATCGGCAGTCTCACCAGTCTTTTCGAGGGTCTTACTAAATTTATCGGCGGCTTCTAGACAGTTCTTTAAAGACCTTAAAAGTGTGGTTTTGAACTCTATATCCAGCAGTTTGCTTTCCTCCATTTCTGTCATTTGTGTCCTGTTTCTTTGTCTCGGCATTTTTTATGCTTTGCTGTGTCGATAGAGTGCCTTTCTGTGCTAAGTGTCCCAATTACCTGAGGTAGACACTCTTGGTGAACCCCCTTGTGGGCTTTGTGCACAGTCTTGTTGTAGTTAAGCCTTGATTGTTGTAGGTATCACTGGGAGGAATTGACCTCCAGGCCAATTGGCTGTGAGAATCAGCTGTGTCTGCAGTGGGAGAACTTCTGTGCTGGAGACACCCCTCTAGGGCAAGACTTGCTTCAATGGGGCTTTGGTGCTCACTGAGTCTGCCCCCTGAGTGTGTCCTTTATGGTTCCACGGAGCTGCAAACTGGATGGTCCCACTCTGACCTCTGGGTTTCCTGGCTCCTGGATCTCTAGGGAGGTGCTAATCTAGCCTTTGCCTGAGGCTACCCAGCAAAAGCCTCCCTGCAGGGCTTGGGCGGGGCGGATCCCACGGGATCAATAGGGCGGGGCTAGCAGTTATGGCTGCTCTCAGTCCTGCCCTCAGAGGCTCTGCTTCTCAGTGTCCCAGTAATCGCTGCAAGCCCCACGGAGAGAAAGCTGCCCTAGGGTTCTGAGCGATGCCAGACAGTCCCGCTTCTCCCGTATGAGTCTGGGTCCCTAGAGACTCGCCCGTAACTGGAGCTCAGAGCCTGAGACTCCCTCCCGATTGAGAACGACAACCGCGCCCTCAGCAGCCAGCCCGCTCTGCATGCACTCCGCACCTTAGTATTTTACTTCCGCACTGCGCCTCCTCTGAGTCTCGGTATGCTTTTCTCTTTCCTTCTAGTTGTAGAATTTCCACTCAGCCAGCCTTCCTGTGGTTCTGGATGATGTCCGTTCCGTCTTTTAGTTGTATTTTTGAAGTGGTTGTGCGAGGCAGCAATCTCCGGTGTTTACCTATGCCGCCATCTTGGTTTCTCTCCTGGTTTTAAAGTTTTAAATTGAAGTTTTTCTGTTAACAGAAAACACTTTAACACTTTTTGACTTTCAATATTTAAAGTTAGAAATTAGCGACAAGTAAATATCTTGATATCATGTCAGTGTGGTGTCATTGTAATCCTATAAATACTGTATTTATCAGTACATTTTTTTCACACAGTTTGTTGGTAGCCATGGCTGTGGACCACTGGTAATACCTAGATCTGTAAGAGGTTCTAAGAACAAAGTTGGAGTTCATATTAACCTACTAAGGAAGGTTGTTACCAGAAGGACCATAAAAGTATGTGTCTTTCCTAGGAAACAGCTTTTTGTTTCTATCTTGAAGTTTCTTTCATGATGTGAATCATGATACAGAACTATAATGTGACATCTATGTATGTGCAGGGACTATCATAAGATAATGTGTGTATTTATATGTATGTATATGTGAAGGCAGTAGAATGCTTACGTTGAGGGTCTACACCACCCCTGTGGGGCATTTTGGAAATTTGTAGTTGTGTTACTGTTCCTTACTGTAGTTATGTTGGAATACTTATACATTACAGTATTTTATTATAAATTCCTTTTATTTCTTTATAATATAGTTATGCCATTGTCTTTTTTAAGATAGATTTTACAGGTAGCTTATAGTATCTGAATTTCATTTTGGGATAGAGGAGACTATTAAGGGGCATTAGATCTGGTGGGATTGTCAACTTCTCATCAAGATAATGGTATGATGGGGGCTTCTTTATGATTATCGCCATTGGCCAGGTTTCCTCCTGTGAAGATGAGTTCATACACCTCAAAATCTAGCCAGGTGCTTGATACATGCCTTGGGAGTCTTTTCAGTTTTCTTTCTTGTAGGAATCAATTTTTTTTTTTTAAATTTAGAATTAAGCAGATTACCAAAAACCACAAACAACAACAACAACAAACCCCCAAAGCAACCATACAAAGTAATATTCCTTCTTTTTGTTTGAAATTGGGACTATGATCAATGAGTTTTACTACAACAAAAACAATAGTAAAATTATGCTTAAGCATAAGGATAGCAGTGCTTTTTGCATTTTAGTTAGTTTTACTTTAACATTATTAGTGTAATTTTTCTTTGTTCATTTAAGGAAGGAATGCTGGAAAAACATGAATATTTGACATGGATCTTGGATGTTTTAGAAAAGATCAGACCAATGGATGATGATCTTCTTAAACTCCTGTTACCATTAATGCTTCAGGTATAGTATATATAACCAGTTGATTTCATGGGCAGGAAATGATCTGATAAGAATGCTTAGGTAAGTAGAGGTGGAAGAGGAAAAAATTGCCCTTTGAAATGGAAGGAAAAAAATATCTTGACGCTACAACACATGAAGTGATACGAGGCTTCAGTTCTGGCAGTCATTTGTAATGGCCATTTCAGAGTTTTAGCCACATGCCCTTTTTAAGTATTCTCTCTACATTGATTTCTCCCATCACTGAGCTAAGCAAACAGCTCTTTAAATACTGTCCCCTTGTTCACACAGATGACTGTGAAAACAAAACAAGTCATCTCTTTTTAAGGACCCAGAGGATCTTCTATATTCATTTGACATGTTTTGAGCCACTGTGGGAACTTCCTATTTTAATGATTGGTCTAAAATTTGTTGAAATTTAGGTTATCTGGATGACATTTATTTAAAAAATTAAAATTTCTTTGGAAGGGTAATGTATGTACTTGAGTATTCAAACAATACAAAAGAGATTCTAATGAAAAGTCACCCATTTCCGGCCCCAGTGTACCCTTTCCGAGGCTGCCCCATGCTGGTCCTGTGTGTCCCCTCTGGGGTGCTTGGGCCTGTGCTGCCTAGTAGAGGAGCCGCCAGCCAGATGTGGCAGTTAACTGTTGGAACTGTGACAAGTACAAATTGATATGTGTTCTCGGTACAAAATACACACCAGATTTCAGACTTAATGCAGAAAAAGGGTATATATAATGTCTCAATACATCTTGGTTTGATTACATGTTGAAATGATAACATTTGCCTATATGAGGATAAATAAAATATATTATTCTTTTAAGTTTACCTTTCTTTTTCCAATGGCTATTAGAAAATTTAAAATTACATATGTGGCTTGTGTTATGTTTCTGTTGGACAGCACTGGTCTATACGGTACCTTTGAAGTTTGTCTTTTTAAATAAAAAGAATTCTGTATTACGATAGTTATTTCACCGACATGACTGAGTCTGGTGTCCTTGTGCTCCTCAGTATTCAGATGAATTTGTTCAGTCGGCCTACCTGTCTCGTCGTCTTGCCTACTTTTGTGCCCGGCGTCTTGCCTTGCTGCTGAGCGATAGCAGTGGCCTCCTCACTGCCCACTCGCCCCACATGATGATAGGACCAAACAATGCGAGCATTGGGGCCCCCAGCCCCGGCCCCCCCGGCCCTGGCGTGAGCCCCGTGCAGCTGGCCTTCTCAGACTTTCTGTCCTGTGCACAGCACGGTCCCCTCATTTATGGACTTAGTTGTATGTTGCAGGTAAGTCCTTTGACCTTGTTACTTATGTTAGATTTCAGTGTAGGAGATAATTGTGGTGGGAATTGCAACAGCTTTCACATCTCAGCTCTAGTTTCTTCCTCAACCACATAATTTATAGATTGAAGTTTCATGTTTTTATTTCCCTATGTTAAATCAAGCCGAAAGAAGATCAGTTGCTTTAGTTTAGCAGTAAGTTATTGTGCTTGTTCTTCATGAGGGCCATTAAGTAGTCAGTGAGTAAAACCCTTTAGGGAATCCATGGAACAAGCCAGCTGTATCACTTCTCTGGAAGATCAGCTTCTTCATGCAGCATCTTTAGCTTCCTCAGTTCACATCCTGAGTGGTTGCCTTTTCTCTCTTCCTTTAAATCCAATCAATCCATCCTGCTTTGCTCCATTGAGCATCACTGCTGGTGCCCTGCGGACCATCCCCAGCATGCTGGCCCCTGAGCTGATGCTGTTAGGAATGAGGTACAGCCCTGCACTAGAGGAGCTCCCAGCTTAGTGTTCAGGTCACACTTCTTGGGCTCTTAATGTGTCCAACTGTTGGCTAAGGGGCTTTGGGACAGGCCTGGCCTTGGAGACACAGTCTCTGCTCTGGTAGAGTTTGCTGCTTTGTCAGGAAGACAGGCTGACAGGCAGTTTCTGAGACTCCGACAAGGGCTGACAGAGGGATGCACAGTGAGCTAAGGGAGTTGAGAAGGATCATTTCTGATCCCACCTAGAATTCAGGGGAGCTTCATGAGGACATAGTCCTGACTGGCGCTTACAATACGAGTTAAAAAAGGTGGTAGAGTGTTCCTGGCAGAGCTCACAGCAGGGGCAGAGGCTCAGAGGGTTGGCTGGCCCTCTTGTGTGCAGGTCGGTATTAATGGAACATGGAGTATAAAATCTTTTGGGGATCAGCATATAGAAGACCCTTGTGCACCTTATGATTGGGTATAACTTATGATTGAGGATTTTGTGCATGAAAGTAACAGTGTGTGGTTAGTTAGATTGTTTTAGCAACAGTAGAGGGACAACTTATGGGAGTGAGGAAGTAGGGGGGAGAGAGACAAGGCAAAGAAGTAAGTTTGGAAGAGTCTAGGTAAGTTCAATTTTGGACTGTTTTATCCCTTAGGATCTCCAAGTGGGTATTTTCAAGAGGTTGTTACATGTCTGATTCTGTCTCCTGAGCCAAGATGACCGGCCACATGTAGATTTGAATCATTCAAGGCATGTGGCTGGGAGGGGCGAGGTTACCTAAAGAATTAGTGATGGGAGAGGCCAGGTGGACCAAGGGGCATGAGTGGTTAAGAGATGGCAGGGGGGATTTCACAGAGATGACCCAGAAAGTTGGGTCAAACTGGAGAGAGAGTGAGAGAGAATTTATTGTAGAAACAAAGACGAGGAGAAGAAGAATACTGAGCATGTTCTATGTTCTAGGCACTGTTCTAAGTTGTATCATATATTAAGCCATCTAGTTCTCAGAACCACCCTATCTGATAGTAGCCTCTGTTATTTTTGTAACACTAACCATGAAAGGTAGTATAGGTCATACCTGAGGTCAGCGGCAAAGCTGGAATTCAGACCAAAATTCTGGATCCAGAGTCCACATTCTTGACAACCACGTTAAATGTCTTCTCTAGGTACTGCAGAAAGTTTCGAAATGGAGTTAGTAGTGGTAGTGGCAGTGCCCAGTGGATTGGGGAGGTCTGGTAAGAAGGTGGCTGAACTTGTCTTCGACAGTATGGTGGTGTCTTTGATGATCAGTCAGATTTTGGGTGAGAAGCCAGGTTAAGGCAGGTTGATAGGTGATGCAGAATGAGGTAAAATAATGCTCCTCTTAGTTTGAGAACTGTGTCTATGAAGGCAAGAGATAGAAATTGCAGCTGTGTGAATGAGATTTTTTTAAAGAAAATTATTTTTGACGGGCGTATTTCTAAGCTAAGGGTAGACTAGTAGAGGTGAGTCTGGGAATAGTATTTGATAGATCATTGTCTTGGATATGGGAGGCTTTGGAACTAAGAATGCAAGGGAAGGGCTCTGCCATGGACAGGTGGTGAGAACCCCACGGTGTCACAGACAGGATGAAGTGGGGAGGGATAGATGCCAGGGGAGACGTGCACTGGAGGGTTCAGAGACTTTACGGTGCTCCTGTTTGCCATCTGATTTCCACAGACATGTCTCCATACCTCCAAAGGTAGTACTTTTATTTTTCTATTCACTTTTTAGAAAAAGGAAATGTTGCATTCATTCTCTCAGCTCTTTTTGTTTGCTGTTGAGTGGCATGATAGCAGAATGGTTAAGACATATACTTTAAAATCATTCAGACAGACCGGACTTGGGCTCTGCTCTGCCAGTTGATAACTTGGACCTTGAGGCTCTGTTTCCCAAGTGTGAATGGGGGATGATGACAGTTCTTCTTCTTCTTTTTTTTTTTTAAAAAAATCTTTATTGTTTAAAGTATTACCTATAGTATTACATATGTCTCCTTTTTCCCCCATTGGCCACCCCCACATCCCCAGCACATGCCCTCAGCCCCTAGTGTCTGTGTCCATTGGTTATGCTTATATGCATGCATACAAGTCCTTTGGTTGATCCCTTACCCCCTACCTCCACCTTCCCCTGCCTTCCCTCTGAAGATTGATGGACTGTTTAATGCTTTACTTATTACCAGATGGGTTTAAGATTATGAGGACAGAAAGCTTCCAGGATATTGTTCAGCACAAAGTATGTGTTCAATTAAAATGTGAGCTGTACTATTTACTTTGCATTTTAGAGGCAGCAGGATCAACATAGGAGTGCCAGGCACGTGTGCTGGACTCAATTTGGGGCTGTTACTAATCTCTGTCTCACGTTCCTCTTTCACACAGTTGGGGAATGGGGTTGCTGTGACGTAGAAGTCAGGTGGTCATAGAAAGTACTTCGGGCAAGCTGGTTGAGTAAGACAGTCTGTAAGGGGCTCAGCCAGGGTGGACGAGCTACAACTGAGGGCCAAGTGCAGCCTGTGAGCTATAATCGTTTCATGTTTCCAATGAGTTATTAAAACAAAAAAAGAAGAATATGAGACAGAAACTATAGATGTTCCAAAAAGCTCAAAACATTTACTGTCTGGCTTTTTATAAAAAAATTTGTAGAAACAAATTTGACCAACTGTGATGATTACTTCATTTTTATGTTTCCTAGGTTTCCTGTACTAGGTTTTCTGTACTAGGTAATTTCATAATACTATACTTCCTCCCTTTCAAAGGGGTAATTCTGTCTTAGTTTTGTCTTATCTCTTGAAAAGATGAGACTGGGATAAGATATTTTAATCTTACTGGTAAGAAACTGTAATAGTCATGATAAGGTGTCATTTTACTGTGAAGCTGTTATTATACCTTTTCTTTCTCTTTATCTGGATTTTCCTGCTTTCTCTCCAGACTGTCACTCTCTGTTGCCCAAGTGCCTTAGTGTGGAATTATTCCACAAACGACAGTAAGAGCGTGAACCCAGGCTCACCCCTGGATCTACTGCAGGTGGCGCCCTCCAGCCTCCCCATGCCAGGCGGGAACACGGCCTTCAATCAGCAGGTAGACTTTCTGTTGCAGTGCTTTGATGGGGGTTCTCATTCTTGAGAGTCGTCAGGGCATAGAGGGCCAGGTGAGTTTTAACATCTCACATGCTTGGGTGCCATTCCCAGCTCTGCCGCTCTCTCTGGGTGGCCTTGTGGGGAAGCATGTTGCTCCCTTTCTTCTTACCCTTTGCCAGGCAGTTCTTGCAGAGAGTTCTGCCACCCAGACGATAATTATAGTGGTGTTCCACAACTCTCAAAGTAGTGGTCTGTGATATTTAGTAATTATTATGTTTTTATTAGTGCTGGGTTATTTGGTTCAAAGACTTAAGAAACTTGAACCAAAGAATGGTGACTAATATTTAGAAAAATGTCTCTGTTTTTTCAGAGCAGTCTTATTAAGTTAATAAGCATGACTGGTTGTTTTCATACGCAGAAGAATGGCTTATAGATGATATTTAGAACTTTCACTTTCTATGTGATGTCCTAATATATTTTCAGTTATAAAGGTTTTTTTGTAAGCATTTATTATTAAAAACTGGCTTAGGATCACCACTTGTAAATTTTAAAATGCACTCTTGGGGAAACAGGCTGAACTTCCTACAATGCAGTGAATACTGTATATAGTTCACCATAGGATTCTCTGCTCATGTGGAAAATCATGACATGATTTAAACAACCACTGTGGCTCTCCGAGCACAAGTTAATTAGAAGTGCTTATTTTTCAGGTTCGGGCAAGGATTTATGAGGTAGAACAGCAGATAAAACAGAGAGGCCGTGCAGTGGAAGTTCGGTGGTCTTTTGACAAGTGCCAAGAGTCAACAGCAGGTACAGAACACAACGGAGGAGTGCTTTTGAACATGGGACTTCATCTGCCATGCTTCTGATTCTCATCAACCTGTCCACATATTGGATAAGGATGCTCTCTGCTCTCTGACGGAGCCACTTAGTGAATTCTGAGGAAGTTCTTTTTTTTTTTTTAATATATTTTATTGATTTTTGATTTTTTACAGAGAGGAGGGGAGAGGGATAGAGAGTTAGAAACATTGATGAGAGAGAAACATCGATCAGCTGCCTCCTGCACACTCCCTACTGAGGATGTGCCCGCAACCAAGATACATACCCTTGACTGGAATCGAACCTGGGACCCTCCAGTTCGCAGGCCGACACTCTATCCACTGAGCCAAACCGGTTAGGGCATGAGGAAGTTCTTTAGTTTATGCCCTTCAGACCCTGGCTGTCTAGCTTGCCAGGTTTGGTTTTGTTGGCAACTCTTCTATCCTGGGAATGATTTTTTAAAATCCCTTTTGTACCCATAATAATGAGTTTTGTACTGTGCTGTCTGGCCTCATTTAGCCTCTTTAACTGCTTGCTTACTTTTCATTTCTAGGGGTCACCATTAGCCGGGTTTTGCACACATTGGAAGTGTTGGATCGACACTGTTTTGACCGAACTGATTCTAGCAATTCATTGAGACGCTTTATCATAAGATTTTCTGGCCGCACCAAAATAAAGATAACCAAGAGGTAGTTATTTTTTTCTTCTTTTCCCATTTTGGTAGCATATTTTCTTCTTTTTCATTCTATAAATTTGCCAAAGCCTTCACAATAAAGTGTAATACCTTGTGAAGAGGTCTCACCCTGAAATCATTCTATTGTACGACTAAAAAGTTTCACCATTATAAAAATGTCCATTGGGCTGGTCTACTAAGTATATCGGTTGAAAAGCTTTTTCTTCATCCTTTTATTGTCCTTTCTCATCATTTTCATTTAGAAGATGATCCTCCATCTAGTGATTTGGATTTATGCTGTGGTTTGGCCTTAATGGCAGGGAAAGTAATAGATTAGCATATCAGAAAGCGCGAAATAATACTTGCGGTTATTGTCTTTGAGAACTGTAGGCCCGATTATTATACAGTGATCTCCGAGAAGAAGAACCATAGGGGAAAGA